GCTTCTGAAGTGATCAGTCACTCAGATCAACTTTGAGAAAACAAAAATTAAAGTGGGCCTGAGGCATTAAGGGGTTTTGAGCAGATGGTCTGCTTCAAATAGTTAGGTGTTGTCTTCCAGCCTACAGGACGTTCTTATTACTCATGCTTCATTAAAATTCCCCAAAAGCTTATCTTCTATTCCAGAGATGCAGAATACAGCAGCTCTAAAGTTATTTGAAGCCAAGGCACAACTCCTCTACAGCTAATGCCATGCATCAGTTTTGCTAAATTTGAGGTGGTTCAATCCACATTTCTAAGGAAGCTGTTCCAGATTCTCAGTATACTCCTATTATGGCACTCCACATTGAAGCAGGACTGAATAAGGTACACACTAAGGTATGGATAAGCATCGTCTATTATTGGCTAAAGTTAAATTTCTTACTACAATCTTGCACTACTGAACTTCCTGGCAATGGGGTACTGTTGTCAATACAGTCCTTGGATATTTCCCTCATCTGTTGTCGGCTTTGAGTTATGAGCAGATCGTGGCAAAACTTAAGGAAAGTATTTTGGACACGAAATCCCAAACTGAATTTCTACAAAGGTAGAGCTGGGAACCTCTAGAAAACTGTTTTCAACCAGCAATTCACAGTTCATAAATATGCTAGGCCATTCATGCTAGTGTGATTTGACCTCTTACCATGAGCACTTTTCAAGGGTGCTGTTGAATCACTGGTATGTCCTATTCTATTTTGACTTCTACAGAAACTCCTGCATCAGCACTCTGCAGGATTTACCACTAATAACAACAAACCTAGCTACAACAGATCACAGCTGATCTAACTTGGGCAGTAGTAATTCTACAAAATGTGGTTGCTACTTCATCTTATTGTTAGTTATTTCCATGTATGTAAATGCATTGTAACTGGTGTATTTTATTACATTTGGTTGGTTCAATATTGGTCAATAATTTCCCTTTTGGACTTTTTGCGGGAAACAGAAAAAAAATGAAAGTATGGATTTGATGATTAGTAAAATTAACAGATTATAGAAAAAATGGATGTTAAGTTGTAATCCTAGAGTAAGAATTTAATGTAAGTTTTACTTATATCTGCTGTAAAATAAGTCATTCTTTTTTTGTATTTGTTCCTTTTTCTTATCTTTCTGCACTTCTGTTCTCCTTTTTTCTCTTTATTTTTCCTTTTCTTCTATTCTTTTTCTTGATTATTAGTTCTTGTTAGTTTTTATCTTTCTGGTTTTAAAATTTAATAAAGTTATAAAAAAAAAGTATTGGTCAATAATTTGTTTAAGTGTCATTCATGTAAATTAACGAATTATTTCTATTCATCCACTGAAGGTCATAAAAATTCTTCCAGAATTTAGTTTTGCAGGACAACATATTTGCTCTGCACTCAACGGTCTTTATGGGCCAACTTGAACAAAAATTATTTGCGAGGAAATACATGCATTTAATACTTACAGGAATCCATTTCCCTTGCTAGTACATGGACCGATATTTTGTGCCTTCTTTGGGCATCTACTGACAACATTTCCTACACATAAATAAATCAGGGTTAGTTATTCAAATAAAAGCAAGAAAAAATTCCATTTCAACCTTTGCAATGTGAAGAAGTCATGCAAGCTTTCCTGAGCTAAACAAACTACACCATGCAGCAAGGATATTTGGAAAATATTAATGCTAAATCAAATCAGATCAAATCAAATCAAATCAATTTGACTATGTTCAATGAACAGCCAGGTAAAAAAGAAAAAGAAACAACAACCAAATACAACTAAAACAGTATAACACTAATATAAAACCAGAAAAAAATAGACTTAAAACCAGAGTAAGGGAGAACTTGAATAAAATAACAGTGTAAAACATAAGATAAAATAAAAATAGGATAAATTAGAAATACAATAAAATAAGAGAGTGAAGAGTCTTCATTATATCATCATTCCAAGATAAGGTCATCTTATGTCTTCCTGTGGAAGTTGCTGTAGAGAGAAAATTAGCAATTCAATTGCTGATGGTGGGGTTCTGGTCTGTGAGCAGGACATAGACAGACTCTCCCTCATTAAAAAAAATGAGCTTTTGTCAAAAAGTGGCAAGGGTATTTCTGCATGTACACTGGTGTAAGAAAGGACAACAAAAAAATACATGCGAAAGAGTTTCAGGTTCATTCCGGCCTCAAAGACAGCATCTTTTGGTGAATGGGATCCTACTGTACCTCAAGTACTACCAAGTGTAAGAGGCTGAAGTGAGCCAAGAAATGGCTCTACTCTGTGGTGGACAAATAAGGTTAAATAAATAGTTTTCCAGTATAAAATCAGGATGCTGTATGAAAATAGTCACCCAGGTTAGATGTGATAGATTTGGCCACCTTACTGCAGACATTCCAATCCGTCACGGACTGAAACAGGATTGTATTCTAGCCCCCTGTTGTCCATTATCTATGTGAGTTCAGTGGTAACTACTTTAACCAAAAAGAAATTCCAACTTCCTAAACTTAGTGACAGGCATTCAGCTATAATATGACGATGGTGGAGCAATTCTTTTGCTCATAGGAAAAGTCTGCAGGCCATAATGGAAGGGAGGACCTACAATCAATCACTCGTAAAACCAAAATTATGGCTTTCTTGGGAAAACCTAGTTGCTACAAACATCAATGGCTAATTTGAAATCATAAAATTCATCAAGTTTTATCTTTTAAACTGGCATAAGCTTGGTGGGACCAAATTAGAATGTTTCTTTTAAATTTGGCATTTCTGCCAAAGCCAACAGCAGTGCCCAGACAATTTTGGGCTTTTTTCACTCCAAAGAGGGTAGATGCATACCTTCTACCATTAAACATTT